AGAGAGAGAGAGAGAGAGAGAGAGAGAGAGAGAGAGAGAGAGAGAGAGAGAGAGTTTAATTGGTAAGCAACAAGTCCGATTGCTGAACGCTTTCCCATAATGTACAAAAACAGGCAGACGACAGAAGCAAACCGGACAAAGAAAAAAGAAACGGAAAAGTTATTCAAAGTTCCAACGCCCAAGAATATAAAATGATGGAGCGAGAACAAGCAAGCAAGGTATCCGAGAAAGAAGTGCACTTCCAGCAGACCCCCTGAAGACTATAGCCTATGGTGGTGGGTTTTCGAGGAGATGATGGGCATCAATGCAACCAAGCAGATGCGAAATGACAAAAACAGAAAAACTTGAAAAACGTTGAAAAAAGGAGTAAAACTGGAAGAAACACAAAACACAGATAACTTTACAGAAGTCACGACACAGAAACAACACCAAGGTCCACTGAAATTTTCTTAAGCCCCATTTGTCTTGGGGATAGTGACAGCGGCTGCATAGCTGACACTGCTGTCCCTCAGAGTCTTGCAGTGGCTTGATTGCTCATACTGTACAAACTTCATCCTGAGACCCGGCCGGCATTTCTTGAGTATCTGCAAAAGAGCACAGACAAATGAAAAAAGCACAGCACATGCTCAGCGCTTACCTCTCTCTCTCTCTCTCTCTCTCTCTCTCTCTCTCTCTCTCTCTCTCTCTCTCTCTCTCTCTTGCGCGCGCGCGCGTGCGCGTGTGGGTTGTATCAAATGGACATCTGCAGGAGTTGTCGCCCGGGGTTTGGGAAAAGTGAAATGCAGGTGGGTGATGGTTCCTCGCTGGTGACCCGGCAGCTAGATAATGGATCAACGGGAATGCACCCCAATCCTTTGTTTTTTCTTGCCTTCGCTTCTGGAGTGGCAAAAAAAAAAAAGAAGGGTCATCAGTGCACGGTTGTGACGGGTGGGGATCACCATCAGGCCATGTCGCCCCAGCGATGCTCACGCTGGTGATCACCACCCCCCACAGATGGCCCCTTGTCCTCCCTCAGGGGGTGGGCGTAGGGTGGAGCTTGGAGGGGCGAGGGTGGATGGTGGAGGGGGGTAGTCGTCACCCCAGTGGGGTGGCATGGGGGTCAGCAACAGGATGGGCGAGGTGCTTAACCCTGGTGGTCGCCTGGTGGGGACCACCTCACCACATTCCATTCCACAAAACCTTACCTGAAGTTACTTCCACCTCGACCCATCGAACCAGTACAATGCCCGCTCCACTCCATCCTACTCCACCCCTCCCATAACTAACAAACGTGCCCCATCTTCCTAGGTGACCTCCCTTCCCCTCCCCTGGTGATAACCACCCCAGGGGTGTCCGCAACCTGGGGACGACTACCCCAGAATTCGAGATCATCTGCCCAGGGTCGTCCGATTATGGCATGCTTGTGGAGTGGCATGGTGTTGTGTTTCTGTAGCCCTTTTTTTGTCCTGCATCTGGTCATCGATTGGTTATAGGTATACTTGGCACTTCATGTATTGGCACGTTGTTCTCTGTTCCTGTCGTAATACTTTTGTGTCTATGGCGAGTGGCGGTTCATGTATGTATATATAGGCATGTTACTCTCAGATGCATTGGATGGCAATTAAAGGGTTAATAATGGGAAGGCGGCGTAAGTTAAAAGAACCTACCGTCTTCACCCGAATAGAACTCCCCGGTCATTATCGCAGCACCTGGACTGAAAAGTACCCCAAATACAGAGCTATAATGACAGGGCGTTATATTCGAGTGAAGACGCTAGTGTTCAACTTTCTATTCCGGCGATGGCGAGTTTGAAGTTGGCTGTAGAAAAGCATTCGGCTGCGCAGTGTAACAATTAAATATTAAATAATTATATCAAAAGCGCTTACATGGAGCAGAATGCCGATTGGATGCCGTCCACAGATCGTGTTCTCCGACTCTTGCAAATACTCAGTGAATGCCTCAGGGTCTCCTATCTCAATAAGATCCATCCCTCTGTGGTCGAGGGCCTCTATCGCCTTATATATAGGCTCTCTCTTCTTCTCATGGCGTGTGTAATTGAACCTGACACGAACAAAGAAAGGACGGAACACACACGCCGAAGACACACTTTTCAGCTTGTGAAAAAAAAAATAGCCACAATAGAGTTGAATAGACAAGATTCAAGAACATAATTTCCTTTTCCCCCCCGTCATTTCCAGACGATTTCTCCCTTTGTCTTGCTTTAGTATTTTCTTCGTGTTGAAAATGCGCAACTAGCTGGTCATGCAAGAACCCCCCCCCCCCCCCCCCCCCCCCCCTCTCTCTCTCTCTCTTTGGAAAACAAACCAGCATTCTGGGGGAAGCTGTGCCTGCAAGAGACCGTTTATTTTCCGATAAACCCCGTCTTAAGATTTGCCATTCATAGACTCCAGCTCCACGGCACTCGCCAGTGTTGAGATTTCAAGTTGATCTCTGACTCTCACAGTACTTTGCAACCCTCCCTCTCCCACCACCTACCCACAATATCATCACCAACTCTTCCCATTCCACTCTATCGCTCAGGCCCCCCTTGTCCATCCTGCATGGCTTCTTTCTTGTTCCGTCAGCTACCGTTTCTGACAAGAACCAAAACTCCACTGACACTGACATTCCTATGAAGTCACAAGACGCGGGTTTCGGTGATCTTGCAGCTGAATTCGCATTGTGCTACCATGTCGGCATGCTCGGAGAGTCGTGTGTACTACTTTCTCATGCAATATTTCTTAACATCGTAGAGAGTGAAATCACACTACGATTATTCAACTTGTCATGTATGCAAACAGCGAAACAGCAAATTGGCGACAGGCGCCCACTCAGTACTCAAGATATCATATCCACATAAGAGTTCTCTTCAAACTGGCTATGGCGACTGAGCGCCCACACAACTCACTGTTCGCACTCTGGATCACCCTGGATGTCCCACACGCAACACTCAGTATCACACTTCACACACACACATGCTAGGCTACAGCTATGGCAGCGCTAGCTGCCACTACCTATCGCTGCACTCTACTCCTCTGCCCACTTTGTCTTCGGGCACTCTGCAGACCTCCTCGCACAAGCTGCTAGGCAGCGCTTCCGCATGGTATCCGCAGGAATGAATGAACGAATGGACGCAGCCTCTTGATTTATACTTCTGTGCTGCATTGGTCTGCCTTGTGTCCCTGGCCCATGGTGCACACAGTTCCCCCCGTGGTACTTGCTGGACCGGACTGGTACTTTCTAGACTCTCTCCAACATGGGCTTGCTTTAGTCACACCACTTGCCCACTTGCCTGCACCACTTGACCACTTGCCAACCTTCTAGAAGGACTGCAGCTAGCCTTCTAATCTACAGGTCTACGGATCGAATCCTGGCTACCTATAGACCTACGACAGACCTACCTACCACTGGCAGTTCTACAGGTCGCAGGTTCAACTCTTCGAGTTGACGCTGGTATTGTACACAGGTAAGTTGGGAAACTAGGGATCGAGCCCTGGGATCTACCTCAGCTACCACGAATTGGTGAATACCGTTTCAAGAGAGCACACGCAAATTCGCATTGTCCTAACAATGGGGCCCAATCGCCACAGACAACGTCAGCTTTCAATCTCCCAAACCTCCCTCCCTTCCACTTGAACACTGCGAACCTCGTCCGTCGTCTTCTGCAATGACAAGGTAGGTTCCTTCCTTAATCGACAGAGAGCACAGGTTCCATCCACTCCCGATCTGTTGATCAGTCGTGGAAAAGTCGCTTCGAGATGTTGTTTGGTCGTCTGTCCCCCCTCCCAATACAATGATCTTTGCATACAGAAAAGTGTACTCAGACGGTATCCGTAATAACGACTCTTCCTCCCACACAAAGCGCATCCCAATGTCAAAAGTGCCGGGTGAATCCAGGTACCCACTACACTTGGCCAATACACATCTATAAACAACCAAATTCGACTGCCCACGTTATCCCTAAAGCAAGCGAGAAAAAAAAAAAAAAAAAGAAAAAGCGAGCGAGCATATCCCCTTCTCTGTTACAATGCGCTGTTAACCAAAACACGCCAACTAGCTTGATCACACTCTCTGAATTTCAATTTATTTATTATTTTTATTTTTATTTTTTTTTCAATTCTTACATTCTTAATTCATCAGTTGGTCCTTTTCGAATGAACGGCGGGACCCTTTTCAGAGAGGAAGGATTAAATATCTAGATAGGGAGTTGAAAACCAAAGACCCTACCATATTCACCCGAATACAAACGCCCGCTCATTGTTGCTGTACCTAAACTGACAGTCGAACCAGATACGGCTATAATGTCCGGGCGTTCTATTCGGGTGAAGACGGTAGTGTGGAGCAGCAGACGGATTAATTAAGATAGCAGATCCAAGTCTCTGAGCCAGAAGGGTTAGGAGAACTTAAGGAGGACTCTCAGCAGAAAAAAGAGGTGTAACTCACCGTGTCCCCCAGTGGCAAAAGTCCGAAGAAATTGAGAAGAAGTTGGAAGGATCGTCCATGTACTTGCTGAGCAAAGTCCCGTACCGCTCTTCAGCTTCTGGCGAAAGAGCACCGACCAAAATTGGCACTAGGGTGAAGTGATGCCTGGGCACAGAGCACCAACCAGATCGTCAGGGCAAAGAGGAACCGCTTACAGAAACCATGGTCACCGATTTATTCAAACGAGCTCATTTTTTCAATTCCCGCTCCCAGGGTTGGCAGTACCGTTTTTTGGTGCCCAAAAAAATTTGAACATAATGTAATTTGAACATAGTGTACGTTCAAGTATTGTATTTACTATTTAATATTTATTACATTTTATTTTAAATTTGGTAACGAATTTCGATGTGAGCCTGAGGCAAATTTTGTTTAATTTTTTTTTCTGCATAACTTTTTTTTTTCAGAATTTTTGGATTTTTTTTCTTTTCTTTTCTTTTCTGGGACCTTCTATGGTCCTTGCACGGCCCGGCAGCCCCGGCAAACAAGCTGACCTGGGCGGCCCCGGCTGGTAGCCTAGGCTGTTACACTGTTTCCTGTCTTCTGTTGTCTCCTTTCCAGAATTTCTGCAGCTCTTGCCCTAGCACTACTGTCCCTTACTTCTTCTCCACCTCCTCCTCCTTCTTCTTCTTCTTCTTCTCCCGCACCTGCACCTCCTCCTCCTCCCTCTTCTTCTTGTTCTTCTTGCTCCTCTTCTTCCTTCTTTTTCTTATGCATTTGCATTCACTGCCATTCAGTGATTGCTACGACTCTTTCCCGTCAGATGTTCCAAGGTTTCCACAGGTTCTGCTCAGCGCCTCCTACCTCTTCTTCCAAGGTTTCCACAGGTTCTGCTCAGCGTATTCTACCTCGTCTTCTTCAGCATCCCAACAACCGTGTTACGAGACTCGTGACACAACTCGGATGGCAGGCGTGGATCCATGGCTACCATTTGGCAACAGACGACCGAAAAGTTGGAAAGACATGTGAGGTACTAGACAGTCCACAGCTTGGCGGGCATGCAATCGTGGCAATGATCAGCAACAAGGGTATCATCATGCTATCACGCGTCATAGGCACACGTACTGATGCTATGTCAGCTTGCAAAGACCATACGCACGACCCAGAAAAATTTATGCAAACACTGCAACGCGTTGACACCAACCTACAGAGACGATGGTGGGTGTGCCGTCCTTATGGAGCTACAGAATTGAAGGAACAACACCCTTTGCAAATCATACGTACAGGAAGAAAAGTCCAACTGCAAACAGAACATACAACTGGCTGGAGACCGCCATCTCACCCTTCAAAGACCTTGTAGAGGTAAGGAAGGTGCATCTCCATGCTATGCTCTGCTTCGTCCACATCCCTCGACATCTCTTCGAATTGGCCGGTTGCCCACAGCTCGCGGTACACTGCATAGAACAAACCACAGAGTTGGCAAACCCCATCAAAGACGGACATTCCACAAAACTCGCATTCGTCAAGCCCGCTTCCCCGAGTTCCAATGACCATGGGGCAACACTTCCACATTCAAACGGTTCAGGATTAAGAACTTCATCTGAAATGTGGCGGCCACGTGCACAAGAGTTAAGGTTATATAACTTTACCTAAAATGTGGCCACGTGCATAAGAGTTACGGTTAGAACTTCACCTGAAATCTGGTCACGTGCATAAGAATTACGGACCTTTCGGTTAGAACTTTACCTGAAACGTGGCCACGTGCATAAGAGCTAGGGTTAGAACTCTAACCTGAAATGTGGCCAGGTGCATAAGAGCTGGGGTTAGGACTTTACCTGAAATGTGGCCACGTGAGTAAAGGGTTTAAACTTCAAAGCGCTACCCTACATTGATCGTCTGCCTTGTTAAAAGTTGGTTATGACCGAAACACGCGGCCGAGCTTTTTTCATCTGACTTTGAAGAACGTCAATGGACAGCCTCCTCAATTTTAGAAGAGGCCAACAAATGCCATGCTCGGTCACAGGCTTCTGTTCAATAGTAATGATTTAGATGCCCTTGCTGCATAACCGGGAAATTCCCAGCCCGGCAACCAATAGCCCCCAAACAGGCTAGGAAAACAGAAATAGGCCCGGCACAAGCTCGGTCAGGGCCAACCACAATTGGTTGGACATTGGCCCAGGCTTGGAGGAGGTCGGCAGCATAAAACAGGTTGGGGTTTAAGCCCATCCCTTGCCCCCCCCCCCCCCCCCCCCCCCCCCCCCCCCCCCCACACACACACACACACACCCTGCCTCTGAGCCTACTTTGTTGCATGCATCGCAGTTGCAGCCAGCAGGTTGGAACTCCTGAAGGGGAGGGCACACATATCGTTTCAAGGACTGCATCGATCTTTTTCTCCACCAGAGGCCAAGAGGGCGTCATCACGGGTTACCTACACAAAATCTGGGACCACACGCTCGTCAAGACCCATGCAGGACTGGCATTCCCGGCCCAAGACCCACCTAGCACTCCTAGCCCTTAACATGGAGCTTCAGTGCTTCAAAGGCAGACAATAACATTGTTTTCCGCACTCTGAAGGCGCGCAATGGGACGCATGGGCCGTGTTGTGTGTGAGGGGGCCTACAGAGATCAGAAAAACAGGCATGCTGAAGGCACAGCCTGTTGGTACAGACACGTGGTATAGTGAGTGCTCAGGAGCCGATCGTCAGAACTTGTTTTGATCATGTCATACAAAGGTCATAAATGGAATGCGTGTGTCGAAAGAGTACCTGAGTCAGTGGGTATGTATCATGAAGGAAAGCGTATGGATATGAAGATGTGAAGTTCTCAATCCTTTTATGTCTAAATCTAGTTATCTATATATAGCTCGTACTACGTAGATGATATATCCATGATTTGCTAATATTGAGGATGACACCACAAAATCGGTTGACCCTCGCACGCGTACCGTGCATTCAACGAAGAACACACGTCTGCACGACTCTTCGAAGCATATTGTCATCCTGCTTCTCTTTTTCTTTTTTTTTTTTCTTTTTCTTTTTTTTTGGGTCATCCTGCTTGTCTAACTGTTCAAACAATGATGATGGTTCAACCAACCCAGAGTTCACTTCAGCATGACACTGCAAGGAGCAAATAACACTTCATCATAGGCGGTAAGAGAACCGTCTTCGCTAAAAGTTTGCGGCGAATGTCTTGACATTGCAGATATCCAGCAAAAGGCCAGGAAGCAAGCTCACTGTCATATCCAATACTCCCAGAATACAAATGAGTCAAAAAAAAAAAAAAAAAAAAATCACACCATTCTCTGCAGCAAACAACTTGATCTACTATGCATTCAAGAAACTCGACTGTTTGACCTTCGAACAAATTTGAAATTTGACTTTTGTTCCAAGTTCAAACAGTTGTTCGAACAAATTTGACTTTTGTTCCGGAGCTTATAATTGGGACAACGGTGAACAATAGCTGCTAATGCTGTGCAAGTTCCTATCCATACTATTACACTTGGGTTTCTGTCCTTTTTAAATTTTAATTTGGATGCAAAGTCTCTTTAATTCTTCGTAATCATTTAATTGTGCTGAGTTCAAACAGTTGTTTCGGTTAGCGGAGTTTCTTGAATGCATTACTGATCAAGAAACTCAACGGTTTGAACTTCGAACAAATTTGACTTTTGTTCGAACAGTTGAGTTCCTTGCTCAGGAATGCATTCAAGAAAGTTGAAGAAACTCAAAACTGTTTGAACTTGGAACAAATTAGACTTTTAGTAAGTTTTTACTTGAACATGACACCCGATAATTAATCGTTAGCTGCGGTTAGCATTCAAGAAAGGTACAGCCACAGTTAAGTTACAGGATAAATAAATTCAATAGCATCAATACCAATTCAGTTTCTCGCACCCAAGGAGTGAACGAAACATTAAACCATTAGTAGCAGAATCAGAGCCTTGCCAAAGCAGCCAATGAGCTTGAGAAAAACTGGTTGGCTGTCCTGACTTGCAGGAGCCTCTCAGGGACCCTGACCCTCAAAGCCAAATGATCCCCCAGATTTATCAGTCTGTATAACCCCCTGCTAAATGACTGCCTTAAAGGTTGAGCGGCTTGAGCTCCTTATCTTGTCCTTCTTCAGAGATCTCTTAAGAGTCCCCGCCCACATGTAGTCACGATCATCACAAAATACTTTCATCTGTCACACAAAGCATTCCGGGCCTCTGCTGTGCAAACACTGGCCACATGTTAGTGGAGTTAAACAGCAGATGAGTGCATACATGGGAATGATGGCACATTGAAAAGGACTAGCATGACACGAGCTAGTGGAAAGGGGGAGAAGATGACAGAGGACTATTGTTGGCTGATTTCCAGTTGTAGGCCACATGTTCGTTTCAGCCATTCATTCATGTCACAAGTCAAACCCCTCCGCTGTGCAAAACAGCAGAACACTGGCCACATGTTAGTGGAGTTAAACAGCAGATGAGTGCATACATGGGAATGATGGGACGTTGAAAAGGACTAGCATGACACGAGCTAGTGGAAGGGGGGAGAAGACGACAGAGGACTATTGTTGGCTGATTCCCAGTTGTAGGCCGCATGTTCGTTTCAGCCATTCATTCATGTCACAAGTCAAACCACAGCTTCGCTGTCCTCCTCACTCGTCCTCCTCTGTTGTCCTCCTTCCTTCATGCTGATGCTTCTCCCTCTATCCTTCCTCCTCCTCCCTCCAATTTCACTCGGACATCCCTCATCATCGTCCACAATCCATCTCCCCCGTCTCACGAAGTGAAACCTCTGCCAGCACCCTCGCTGGTGTAAGTTCCTCCATTGGTGCACCACTGTGGCTTGCTCGCTCGCGTTGGTGCATGGAACACTCGGGCCGCTTCTCGACAACACATTACTGAAACCTCCCACCGGCAGATTGCAGCACCAAATGCGCATGTAACACGCTCATGCCCGTGCCTGCCCGAACGCGCGTGCGGCCACCGGGGAACCTTCCCAAACACGCTCACCCCGTACCACCTACGTGCACCGCTCACTGGGTAATGCCCCAGTGGACCGGCTGCCCAGTCTCAAAAATTCCCACCGCCCACAGCTCGACTGCCCCTCCCAAAAAATTCCCGCCGGGGGGATCGAACGCATGGGGGACCAACGTGAACACCAGCACGGGAACTCTCCTACATAGAGTGGGATACCACAGCAGCACGGGTTTCGCGTGGGCCTGTTACACGAGACCCGCTTCTGCTTCTATAAGGAGTATAGAATCTATAGATAGCCATCTTTCCAGAAATCTTTCTTATAAATGCCACTATCTTATTACTTATCTATGGAGTGATTTTGAGCACTTTCCACACTAGCTGTAAATCATAGTTACTAAGTTACTGTCTTTCCCCCCTTGCTCCCAACCCCCTGTGGCAAAAGAATTCCCTCTTTAACCCCTACTCCCCCCCCCCCAAAATGCATTTTTGAGTACTAACACCCACCAATAGTACCAAACACACAGGCAAACAGATGAGGCAGGACTAACTGATCAATCCACCAGGGACAAACTATGCAGCACAAC